GTTCTGAGGGAGAGGGAGTTTTTCTGGAGGGGGCTTTTCTAGGTCATGGGGTATTTTGCTGGGGCGGGGGGTTTCTAAGGGAGGGGTGCTTTTCCTGGGGAAAAGGGAATTTTTGCTGGGGGTGGAGAATGAGAGAGAGAGATATTTTCCCTTGGAAGTGAGGAATTTTGTCCATATATTGTCACATTTGCCAGTTTCTTGTCCATATATAGTCATGATTGACCATTTGTGGTTTGCATATTGTCACAATTGCTGGTTTCCTATGCACATATTATCACAGCTGCCAGTTTGTTTTCCTCAAATAGTTATGCTTTCCTGTTTGCTGTCCCTATATAGTCACAATTGCCCATTTTTTCCCACATATTATTTGTGCTACCTGCATATTGTCACAATCAACTGTTCATTGCATGCATATTGTAATGATTGCCTATTTGCTGCTGGCCTATCATAAAAGTTGACTAATACACTAACTGTGTATTGTATACAATTGCCCATTATTGGTCCGCATATTGTCACAATATTATCACTGTATTGTCACTGTATTTTCAGGATAACCATTTTTGCCCATGTATTGTAAAGTTTCAACTGTTTATTGGATCATATTACTATAATTTAGTCCCTGGCATGCCATTATTATCCCTGTACTATATGCGCTGCTAATAAAACCTTTAATTTTATTGTATGTAACATGCAGATATTTTCTAGGTTTTTTTCACAGCAGCGCTCTATGTGTGCCGCTATTAAAACGTAAAAAAAAATGTTTCAATATGATTATTTACAAAACATTCAGATAAAGAAAATCTTCACTGTTTCCATTTTCTCTGCCCATTATTAGTATTTTTTAATATTTTATGATTAGTTCTGAAAATAATTTAAAGTATATAGAGTATGGAAGGATGTTTAAAAAATAATCTGTCCTGGATATCAACTACTCTAAGTTTAAAAAGTGGAAACATGGAAGGAAGGAGTGTTCTCTCATCTGGGGTATAGAGAACCTGATTCATTTCTGTGAGTTCTACATGTTGGAATGGATTGAGGCACAATCTTTGTACTCATCTCTGGTGCCCCCTTGTGTCCATTACGAGTGTCTCTCCATTGCCTACCCTGGCAGGAGATACTTCTTGTGCTTCCACCCTTAGATTATACTACCTGAGATAAGATTTTCACCTTGACTCATGATAAGTACAACCCTGCAAACCATTATACACTCTTTTTCTCTCTATTAAAGAAACCCTGGCTGTAATGGAGGATGGTAGGGAGGGTGGAAACTAGGGATGCACTGATATATTGGCCGCCAAAACATATCGGCTGAAAATTGCACTTTTGGATAAATGCCAAAAGTGGCATCTTCCTGCTGATACAACGGCGCATCCCTGCTTTCTTTCCTACCCGCTGGGCGCTGCTGTGTGTCCCAGCGGGGAGGAGAGAAAGTGTGAAAGCTGGCCGAGCGCTGAGGGATCGCTGAGTTTTTTTACATAATTGAGGACATAGCATGTTGACTATATCCTCAATTATGAATGAATGGGAAGTGATCTACATCACCTCCTGTTCATTCATGATAGTGGTTATGGTAAACACACAATGTCCTCATGTTATCAATGAACAGGAACACTCATAGAGTGTTCAACAAGGGCTGCAGAAAAAGAGATTGAGGACTTTGTGTCCTCAATCACTTTTTCTATTTTTATAGGGAAATATCAGGGGTCTTTTTAGACCCCTAATATTTCCCCAAAGCCCCTAAAAGTAAAGTAAAAAAAAATTTAATAAAAAATGAATAAAAATAAATATAAAAAAATTAAAAACTTTATTTAAAAAAATAAAGTATTTAAAAAATTTGAAAAAAAATCAAAATAAAAAAGATTTTGGTTTCGGTCTGACAATTTTTTTTATTTTGGTTTTGTTTCGGTTTTGAAATTTCTATTTCAGTACACCTCTAGTGGAAACTGTACTTTGATCATCTATGAAGGTTCTAGTGCTCTTTGAAGTAATGTTAACATAAAGCTTTACATGCACCTTTGTGGAAAATAAAAAATAATTTGTTTATAATAATTAGCTGAAGCATTTATTTATTTTTCAGCTTGAATTAACTCCCATATGCATGCACGTGAATTACGTCACCCCATGCCAGCCAATCAAGACGAACAAAGATGCTGAAGAAGATCTAGCAAACATGAGCTGGTAATGGAGGTGACAGACGTTGCATTACCAGAGGGGAGGTAAGTACAGGGGATTATAGTTCTGCTTGAACATCACCCTTCCATTTGAAACCTTCCCATTTGAACAAAAAACAAGGGCATGTCTTTCTTTCTTCTCCAGTTAAACTGTATAAATCCTTGTTTGCTCCTACCTGGAAGGAGATGATTTGGGGCTTCCAAATTCATTTGCTAACTGAAAAAGAGGATAAAATATAATGTTTTTTGTAAAACTCCAGCCACGTTGCTAACTGAAAAAGAAATGTTAAACATGAGTATTAACTGTAGTTGGCACAACCATCTCCTGTTGTTATATCCCAACAAGAGTGCTCTATTAACTGCAACAGCAATGAAGAAGAGGAGGAAGGGATGCACAAAAACAAGTTGGAACACAGAAGCACCCCAACATCACTAAAGGTCAACAACTACTAAATACACTACTGCAAAAAAAGGGAGAATGCACTTCTCTGAGCCTAGCTATTGGCAGCTGATCGGGGACAAGTGTCATCCCCCTATGGCCCTTCAAAGTGGTGGCCAGATATATCTGTATGGAGAGCAAACATACAATAAAAAGTATTGTATGCTATATGCTACTATAAAAAATATAGTATAGTATGCTTAAGGGAGAACTATGGGGTTAAGTCTTTTCCCCATAGTTCTCCTTAGGGTCACCCTAGCTGTCTCATTGTCACAGGTCGGCTAGAACTATGAGGTGAGTGAAAATCACTCACCTCATAGTTCTCCTTTAAAAAACTTTGTAACCCGGCCCCCCATCCTATCAGGCAATAATCTCCTGATGTCCCATGGACAGGAAGTGAGGAAAAATTGCCCCAGTAGGGTCAGAGACAAAAAGAAACTGGCCCAAATCTAAACTTTTCTTCACTCTATCCAAAGTTGTCCCTCAGTTCCACTGGGGTGTTCGAGGCTGTGCCCCAGGCAGCAGTGCGCCCTAGGCGGCTGCCTGGTTTGCCTAGTGGCAGCACCGGCCCGGGACGTGATACATTTTTAACCTTACAGAACTATTACATTGACTATTGCAACTCCCTCCTCATTGACCTACCACTACACAGGCTATCGCCCCTTCAGTCTATCATGAATGCTGCTTCTAGACTCATTCACCTAACCAACCGCTCAGCGTCTGCAACCCCCCTCTGCCGATCCCTCCACTGGCTTCCAATAGCCCGAAGGATAAAATTCAAGATATTAACAACCACTTACAAAGCCATCCACAACTCTGCCCCCAGCTGTATCTCCAACCTAGTCTCAAAGTATCACCCTGACCGTCCCTTCCGTTCTTCCAATGACCTCCTGCTTTCCAGCTCTCTCGTCAACTTCTCCCATGCTCGCCTCTGGGACTTCTCTAGAGTCTCTCCCATCCTCTGGAACTCTTTACCCCAACCTGTCCGACTATCTCCCACTCTGACTGCCTTTAGGCGATCCCTTAAGACTCATCTTTTCAGGGAAGCCTATCCCACCTCAAACTAACCACTGAACTATCACTTTCTCAAACAATTCATCCCCACACAGCTACCTCCTCATGTATCACTTGCCCTTCCCTTTTAGATTGTAAGCCCTCGGTGGCAGGGCCCTCCTTACCATCTTGTCTTGAATTGTATTGTGATTGTAATGTCTTCCTTATATTGTACACTGAGTGGCCAGATTATTATGTCCACCTGACGTGTCGCGCTGAAGTTGCTAGAGGGCCAGATCATTATAAATAAGGAAGCAGGTTGTTTACCACAACAGTAGAAGTGATTTTTTTCTGAAGATATGGGTAAACAACGCGATTTAACTGCCTTTGAACGTGGGATGATTGTTGGCACTCGGAGCCACGGAACATCTGGCCACTCAGTGTAAAGCACTGCACAAACTGTTGGCGCTATGTAAATCCTGAATAATAATAATAATAATTACATTACAAATAATTTTAAATGCAACTATCTATACCGTGACCTGGACAACCAAGAGCCTTCACAGTCAAACTAAATGATGAATTATCTACCACACGCCACCTGTAACTAAAATAACCCTTCTAGTTGGATCAGCCTTTTAACTGATGAATACTGGAAGAAAACATACCTGCACCAGGTCTGGGCTGAGCATGCTATATGGTCGCTGTCGGAAGGTACTTATACGCGGTGAAGGTGTGTATCTTACTGTTTCTATCCGAACATTTTCCGATTCAGGGATTGTAACACCAATTTTGTCCAGATTTCCAGTGCTGCTACTATTTAATTTACTAAGAGGAAAACTGAAAACACAAATAAATATGTAACATACAGTATATGCCCGCAGAATATTCTTAGCAGGCAAGCAATATACTAACTAGGATCACCAATAAATGCATTATTATTTGCAAGCAATGCCCTCAGTGCAAGCATCAGTTGCTTGCAGATACCAAGCCCTGTAAGTGTATCCTCAGGAGTCATAATGGTCCCAGCAAGTTTTGCAAAAGATCACTATTGCATTAAGATATCTTCTAAGGTGTTGGGCAAAATTCAAAAGCATTCAGGAATTGTGTTTTTTCCCTTTTTTTCCTATGAAAAATGAAGAAGATCTCAAGACATAAAGCTGAGTAACTTATGGAAAGTATCAAGCTGGTTTGCCATGGTAGTGCAGCAATTACAAACCAGCATTGTCAGACCAAGCTTTGTTCTCAGAGGATGATTTGTCCATACATGCCCATCTCCAGAGATGCATATGGAAATAAGAGGTTGATTGGAAAATCTACCAGCTGAAAGAGCTTTCATGAAAATTTTTGTCTAGAAAACAGCTTAAAACTCCCAACAATTATATATTTTCTGACAATAGAGGCCCTCTAGAATAAAAAAATGCTATTTGCAATATTTTATGTCGCACGGTATTTGCGCAAATGTTTATCAAACCAGTATTTTTAAGATAAAATACACTACAATGAATTTAGTGCACAGAAACAGAATGTAATACCCAATAATTTATGGCAAAATACAAAAGATGGGGTCACTTCATGTAAATTGATACCAAACATGTCAAGCCTTAAAAATTGTGTGCACCCGTGAAATTGGAAAAACTACAATACCTTATTTCCCATAGGCAAAGCTTTAAAAGCTTCTGCTGCTCATCATTTTAGTGTTAACAGTGATTGATGGCCCTATAATTATTGCTCTCACTCCGACGTTCGCAACGATATGTAACATGTGTGGAACAATTTTCATTTTTGCACGTAGGAGCATCCGACTCGTGTTTGCGTTTGTATGTGCGTGTACGTGGGGGCGGGGGACTTTAAAAATTGATATAAATATATATATATATGTTAATTTTGTAAAAAATGTTTACACCTAACTTTATTGCTCTATTGCTAACAAGCCCCCTATTTAATGGCAAATATGATGTGAGACGTCCTCTTTTACATCCGGGATCTTTCAGACTCCTAATGTCACCTAGGGACCCCAAAGAAGCTGGCCCTAAGAGCCGGAGAATGTAAACAGTTACACCGGAAGTGATGTAATGCACATCACTTCCAGGTGCAGTGGTCGGAGGAGAGCCCAGCGGCTAGAAATCTGCTGATCTCCCGCCGTTCGATGCGGGGAGACCCGCTGTGTTGGTCCTGGGCCCGCAAAGGGGACAGCGGAGCCCGGAATAGCCAGCGTAGTGAGGGGGGGGGGGCACACATTCCGCTGCTAGGTACAAACGATATGGTGGCCTGTTTCAAATTACAAGAACACGGCTGCTGCAGCAGCTGTGTTCTTGGTATAACAACTTCAGGGGCAGGACGTACATATATGTGAACCCGCCTGAAGTGGTTAAAGAGACCCTGTCACCTTAACCATTCAGAGTAAAGTGACAGGGTCTGTAAAGTCCACGCCCAACTCAGCTATAGACATCACAGCAATCACCCGCCATTCCTCAATCCATCACAGACATTGCACAATATCACGTTTTGGCTGGTGTTGGAGCTTATAAAGAGCAATGACCTCACCCCTGTGCTTGTAACAGGGTTTTGCCTGGTAAGTGGCTGCTAGACCACAGTACTGCATCATGAGAAGATGTTACATTCTCCCCCATACCGGAAGCACCTGATATTTTGCAGTGTCTGCAGAAGGAGTGATTGGGGGAGTACTGTGAAGGTAATTATAACTCGGTCAGAGGTGGACCATGAATTCACCCTGCCACTTTACCCTGAATTGGAAAGGTGACAGGGTCTCTTTAAGGTTAGGGATGAGGCTTGGGTTAATTGCTACCATGGGTTCACAGTGAATCCTGAGGATTCACCAAGTTCAGATTTATGAACGTTTGGGAGAAACCTTTAGAGGTTAACACCAAAAAAGGAAACAGTATGTTTTGTTTATCAACTGACAATTATTAGGGGGATGTAATTTTGTTTTAACCAAGTAGGGTTAAGTTCCTATTTAAGGTCTCTGGATCACCTTTCTCTGATGACCCTGAAATCAAAAAGGATTTAGGTAATAGTGGTCGTTAGAGGTCAGTGCCACAATAACTGGCAAATGTATTTTCATTATAGTGAACACGCCTACAAGAGATATTCCTAGCTGTGACCTAAAATGCCTTCAGGCTTGGTGAAACACTTTATAGGGCAGTCTAAAGCTGCCATTACACCTGACAAGCACGCTAGAAAACCCGCCGAAAATCGGACGATTGCAAGACGAAAGCCGCACGGGCCGAGGTGCGCAAGCGCACACTGCCTGCTCACCATTGCAATCATCTGTAAGCCCTCCCATCAGTGGGGAGAACTTGCAATGATCACAAGTATGATCTGCCTTTCCAAGATGGGCAGGTCGTACGAACTTTTAATTCCTTACAACCATCGCACAACGAAAGTCATGCGATGGTTGTAAGGTGTATGGCCACCTTTACACAACATACTCTGGCAGGTTTAAGAGTATCCAAAAGTGATCAGAAGAAATTAAATAAAAAGCAATGTTACTCACTTTGGGCCAAGTTTATCTGAAGATTCTGCTGGAGGAAGGGGACGGGTATAGGAAAATGGAAACCAGCCTTTCCTATAACAAGAAATAATATTGACTTCTTTATAATCTTAATAAATGTATAGCAGTCAAAGACCCAAGCAAGTTTAAACATTTATATTTTTGCATCAAAAGGGTCATTTCTGACTACGGGATTTTTCACTCCACTATGTCAAACAAAAATGAATAGCAAGTGGTATTTTTGTGTAGTGTATGCTAAATAAATGAAGTTATACAATTCCCTAGTTTGTTTTTTGGATGCTTTTACTTCTCAGTAACACTAGAGGGCACCAATTCATTATGGATGCACTATGCAGAAACTGACTATTTGCAAACGGCACCCCAGGAGTCAGCAGTGCTGTGAAGTAAAGCAGCATTTTTTGATGCAAACACCCTGCCCGCTACAATAAAAAGCACCTTTAAAATGTATCTATATGGTGAGAATTCAACCTTTTAAACATATTTTACATACCAATTTGACATCTACTGTTCAACCATGCCATTTGACTGTTTTTCATAGGGAAAAATGTTCCCTTATATTTAAGAAGTAACATAATTTCTGAGGAACATCCCTAAAGTGCTTTGCTTTAGCAATGTTACAACAGTGGGAAATTATTTTCTTTCTTTTTTTGTTTGAACAAAGGAAAACATAAATATGAAGTCCGCCTTACCAAGGCTATTGGTCTAGCACGCCATACAAACACGCTGGTAACTCCATTTCAGGTGGGCTGCAAACATGTAGGGCGACCGCCATTCAGATACCTGTTCATATTCCCTTCAGTATTAAGGATATGCTTCAAGGGGATGCCCAAAACAAGGAGCACTGCTCTCTAATAACCATAGACTGACAATAACAAGCCGAATGGCCCAAGAGGAGAGAATGATGAATGTCTGAATGTTGGGGGTTACGTGCAACTTAACTAGCCTCAGGTAAGTGCCTGTGTTCTACTTGGTGTTCTGGTATAGTTATTTGGACTCCACACCTGACCACCAAGAGATTGTCTACAGAAAAAAAAAGAAAACCCAAGGACCTGCTGTGTTTAAATCTATTCTGTTAGTTGTATTTTAGCTTCAGTTACATATCAGTAAAATTGATTTGGTGATGTTTTTCATCCATTTCCCTATGATCCTCCTTAGAAATCAGCATGCAGCTGTTTGAGCTTATTACTCACTACACACCCTACAAAGACAAATGAGTCAGTGAAATCACTATGACCAATACACATTTATAACTTACATCTTGGTTGCTTCATTTTCTCCATAGTGCCAGCCATCTTTGGCCTCTGGCACAAGTAGAAGGATGATATCTCCTTCTTGGAAGTTTAGTAAGGTGCTGTTCTCTGCAACTGTATGTGAGAAGATCGCTTGCACTCTACGTCGTTCCACACGAGGAGGTAAAACAGAGAGGGGGCTGATGCGAGGTAGGGTTTTATTTTCCACTAATCGAGGAAAAAATATCTATCAAAATCCCAGAACTGACATCCTTCATAAAATACAGGATCACTATGACATTACTTACCCAGGGTGGCCAGTCTGTTCTCAGAGGCTGGTTTGCGTGGCATGGGTAAGGTGCATGAATACATTTCACTGGCTTTGGGGGTTGGTGGTGTGAGAGAAGCTGGTGTTGCTGGGACTGAAGGGGCCACTTGATTGATGGATAATAAGTCTAAAGGAACAGGGGTTCCTATATCACGAGATCCTCTTGTGCGATGGCTTTCTCCATTAGGAATTGGAAGAACTTCTTGAACAGACATTCTCTGTGATTTTGATTTAGAAATGTAAATAATAAATAGTGGACATGTTAAAGTACAGGTAAAGGCTCCTGCCTCCCAGTTTAACTAGGTCCCAAACTTCCAAATCCTCCTTCATTTGTGTCTCACATGCTATTCCTCACGGACACTACAGCTTTCAGTGGGAGCATTTCAGTAGCAGAGGCAGTGCTGTCAATCCAGAAAACAGTGGCCAGGACTAAAGGTGGCCATACACTTTACAACCATCGCAAGACCTTAGTCTTGCAATGGTTGTAAAGTAATTTAAAAAACGTACGATCTGCCCATCTTGGACAGGCAGATCGTACTTGCGATCATCGCAAGCCCGCCCCCCTGAGGGGCGGGCTTGCGATGACCGCAATGCTGAACGGGCATTGTGCGCGTGCGCACACCGGCACGTTCGCCATTTGTCTCCCGAGCATCATTCAAACCAGCCGAAAATCGTAACATTTTCGGCTGGTTTTCTAGCGTGCTCCTTAGACATAAGACGTGCGACCATACAGTAGAAACGGTCGCACGTCTTCATTCACACTGCACGATTCTCTCGTACGATTGCGAGATTTCCCGCGATTCTCGTACGAGAATTGTGCAGTGTATGGGCACCTTTAGAGAGATTCATCCTCTCCATCTGTCCTGGTGACAGTCATCACTAAAAATTAAAGAAAATCCCAAATTTTGGGTTGTTACCAGATTAGGAATAGATGGGAAACCATCCAATGGGGACATTATTTCTGGTGACCCTGCTGACTTTCAGTTATTTTCCTCACTTTGGAAGGTTTTTCTCTGATTTCTTGTGGCTATCAGAGGTAGTGAAGGGAAAGATCCCCAATGGGACACAGATGGCAAGAAAAAGCCGGCAAGGGTTATAACTAGGGATGCACTGATACTGATACTAGTATCGGTATCAGCCCTGATACTAAGTGCCGATACCAGTCCTTTAAATTTTTAAACAGGTTTGGCTTCCCTAAGGTCCTGTGCTTGCTGGGGACCTTAGGGCAGCCTTCTGGGGACCTCATGGCGCCTGTCTGTCCTCCTCCTTCCTGCTGCCCGCACCCACCCGAACAGCCATGGGGAGACCTAGCACAGGAGGGGTGACAAGGCGCGCAGCCCTGGTGAAACCAAGCACATTCTCCTGAGACCCGGCACGACCCTGGTGAGACCTTGCACAGCCTCATGGGATGCCACACAGCCCTGGTGAGCAACACAGAGTATGTAGCTTCATATTATTCTGCATTGCTGTGTAGTGTATTGCTAGGATTTGTAGTCCTCTATAGCTGATGGTATTCTGCATTGTTGTATAATGTATTGCTAGGATTTGTAGTCCTCTAGCACTGGTGGTATTCTGCATTTCTGCATAATGTATTGCAGGGATTTGTACAACATAAAACAGAAGTCATCAACTTGCGCAACTAGATTGATTGTTTATGGACTATATATTGATAGTATCAAATGAACTCCAGTTATACTGGTAATTACTCCACAGAAGATGTATGCACCGATCCTGCAGCCTGGTTGGTTGGATAGGGAAACATCCATGTAACAGCACTGTGAAGAAAACATAGGAAACCGGCGCACCGATCTAAGTGCCCTGCCTAGCAACACCTGACACCTGACGACCCGGAAGTACTCAGCAGCTGTGACCCTGCTTTGAGGAGAACCAGCCACAGCAGTGCCCAGCCACTGGATCAGACCTGTGTCTTCCAGCACAGGCGTCCTGAAATCTGGACTGGACTGAACTGGACTCTGCTCTCTCCATATCCTGATAGCAATCTCGGACCAGCAGCTGAGATGGGACTTTCATCTGATGCGTGACAGTTGAGATGTTATTTTAATATCCTGTAAGTGCATTACTTTTAACCTTATTAAATAGTCACTTTATACTCCACTTAGATCGGTGCACCGGTTTCCTATGTTTTCTTCTGCAGGGATTTGTAGTCCTCTATCACTGGTGGTATTCCACGTTGCTGTACAATGTATTGCTGGGATTTGTAGTCCTCTATAGCTAGTGATATTCTGCATTGCTGTATAATGTATTGCTGGGATTTGTAGTCCCTCTATCGCTTGGAATCAGTGGCAGAACTGCCAGGGCCACAGAAGTTGCAGCTGCGATTGGGCCCTGGCACTCTACCACTGTCCTAAAATCATTAATCTGTATTGTTTTAGAAAAATTGTCACATGACACTAAAAAAAAGTATCGACAATTGGTATCGGCAAGTACTTGAGGAAAAGTATCGGTACTTGTACTCGGTCTGGAAAAAAATGGTATTGGTGCACCCCTAGTTACAACACTCCCTACTCCAGATTGACTTTAAGAAGGCCTTGTTTGGTTGGCTAGACAAAATATCTCTGAAAATGTTTTCTCTGTGCTCAACTTTACACAATTAAAGACTTAAAGAGAAATGCAATTAGGAGGCACTTACATGGTTTATAGAGAGTCCTCCTCCCAAAAGTGGAACTAGTTCTGGAGGGACATCTAGTAGTTTGGTGCTTGGCACTGGATCTGAGATGACTAGCTCAGTGGAAGCATTAGCGGTTTGTTTCACAAGCATCAGTGCACGTTCTGGAAGTTTTGTGGGCTGAGTACATGACTGCTGCCATGACGGAAGCTTGGCGCTTAACAGTTCCTTAACCTAAACAAAAATAAAAAAGACAATGCTTTAGTAATCATGGTTTGCAATTGTTTAAAGTGGAAATAAACCCTCCTATCTTCCTATCTGCTGAGGACAATTACATCTTGGCCTCTGAATAGATCTGCAGTTGCCATAGTGCTGCACATGTGATCAGTTGTGAAACCAGCCATTTGAGGCATGCAATGAATGTAGCATACACTGTACATGCGTTAGTAGTCAGAATGTAAAGGAAAACAATTTGGAAATACCCAACTCCAGGCACAGCTATGTTTATTCTTTTTTAAATAAAATGTTCACATTAATACTGACATTTTTTGTATTACTTCAGGTGGTCAATAAACTTCACTGAGGACTTCTGCTAGGGATGAACTCAGGGTCTGATGAACCTGAGCTCCTCCAAACCTGGAAGTGTGGGCTGGGGCATTCCCCACTCCACAGTTGAACATAAACAAAGGACTGAGATGCTTGTACTGACATCATTTGATCTTTTATAAACTAAAAGTCATGTTTACTAATTTGTACTGAAATTATAGTCTATTACGGAAGCGAGCTTGGAGTGGTACTTTACAACACACACAGGGTCCATGGGGAACAAAAGTAGCCCCCCTCCAGAAGGAAGGATAGTGTTAGCATGAATTCAGAGATGATTTGAGCATCTACAGCCGAGTGATAGACAAGCTCCATTTTTGTTAAGGTACTTGAATGCATTTTAGATATTAGCCTCCACACTAAAAAGCTAAAAAAAAATCTATCACCACAAACTTGGATAAACAATAGTAATAATTTTGGAATAGTATCTGAAGGGATGGTATTTATTCATTGTGGATGAAAGGTCTCTTCATTATGGAAAATGAAGAATAAAGCCCTCCTATATCCTGCTATGGATAGTGAAATATACAGTATCTGAAGAGTGGTAGCTACATAAAAAAACTGCGAAAAAAAAGTAAGGAATTGATGTATGTAAATTGGGGGCACATCATAACGAAGTGAATCCGGCATTTATTACTGGCGGTGAATAAATAACAGTTATTTAATACAGATGCATTTGGGAGATTCACCTGCAGTGACTGCTTTATAAATATGCCCATATGGCTTATACTACAACATCTAAACTAAAATAATCAGCTAATGATATGATAACAATGATATTGAGATCTGCTCATTTGAGTATTGTGTCAGGATTTTTTCCTTCTTTTCAAAACCACATAAGTGGGCCGAGGTCTGTGATACAGATGGAATATATTTATAAAATTATCCAGATTTGAGGTGAGTTGTATCTTCTCTTTTTACATCTACATCTTTTATCTTATACCTATATATTTTCAGGCTTCATTAGGGCTTACGTGTTAAGTGGTCTTGCTACAAATGCCCTTTTTGGCCCTACTGTATATTTAAGCTGCTATGTCTATATTTATTAGTAGCCATGAAGCTGAATAATTTTGGTCACCCCCATGCAGTACCTTGCTGTGATAGGCACTGAAGTGCTTGGACACTGCACACTGCCGGTCCACCAGGAATGAATATCTCCGCCGTTCTTCTGTAAGAGCTGCTTTATAGCCCTCTGCCACAAACTGGTCCAGTTCACACTGCTTGGTGCTCATAATTTCAACATACTGCAAAACAAACAGGAAGCAAATTAATAGCTGTCATAAAGGATAAATAAGTAAAAGACATAGCAATAATATTGCTTTACCTATTTGTAATCCAGGTCTTGATCACTGCCTTTACACAGCAGGTGAAATTCTAGCCCTCCTATGCTGCTTCATTGAGATTTATAACACTATCAGGATGTAACTCAACCAGCGACAAAAAGTACTCTAGGAGCTCTTAACTTAAAGCATTAATTAAAGGTTATAAATCTCCAGTCAAATCTGAAAATTAAGACTTGAAACGTAGAGAAAGAATGCAGACTACTTGTCCACAGCTTTGAAGTTGTATTTGCTTGAGGTGCAGCGAAATGAAATTCTGAAACCGAAAACCGAAAATACAAAAATTGTCAGGCCGAAACCGAATTTTTTTTTCTAACCTTTTTTTAATTTTATTTTTTTTTTCTAAACATTTCATTGTTGTTTATTTTTATTTTTAAATAAATATTTTTATTGTTGGGGGCTCTGAAAAAATGTTAGGGGTCTAAACATATTTCCCTTTTAAAATAGAAAAAAGATTGAGAACACAGAGTCCTCAATCTCTTATTCTGCACCCCCTGTTATAAATGAACAGGAATCCTCTATACTGAGTGTCCCTGTTCATTCATAACTTGTGGAGATAGTATGTTTACTATTTCCACAATCATGAATGAACAGGAAGTGATATAGAGCACTTCCTGTTCATTCATAATTGGGGACACAGTAAACATACTATGTCCTTAATTTTTACAAGCAGTCAGCGATCAGCTGATCACCGACTGCTTGTACCCGCTCTCCATCCTGACTCGCTGTCAAAGGAAGTTGAGCAGCCAGTGCAGGAGGAGAGCTCGGTCTCCTTTGAGAGCTGACTCCTCCCCCGCACCACCAGATCGGCCTCCTGTGACAGCTGACAGGTGTCGCCGCCCCCCACTGCTCTTCATCCTGATCTGTCACAGGAGGCTAAACGAGGAGGTGTGGGAGGAGAGCTCTGCCTCCTTTGACATCGCAGCTATGTGATGTCTCCTCCTCCCTGCCCCGCTGGACACTGCGCGATGTCAGAGGGGACATAGAGCAGCGCCCAGCGGGGAGGAGAGAAACGAGAGATGCCCCCGCAATTTTGGCTGAAAGATGGTACTTTTGGCATGTTGCTAAAAGTGCCATTTTCGGCCGATATGTTTTGACGCATCCCTAGTATTTTCTGTTTGGACTATCTATAATTATAGCCCCCCTATTTGGAATCCTTTATGGGACATGTGTCTTTATAACTTAGTAAGATAACAGTAATTGCAAGCAAATAATAATGGGGATTTTCTTTGGATATAATGTGCAGTTGATTATTGTATTAATAAATATCATTATTCATATATTAATTGATGGCCATGTGTTTATCAGAAGGCACCAATAGTTGATACAGCATAGTACCAATGTAGAATTTGATGTTAGAAATGTTGATGGATCTTTAAGGTATCACCATATATTAATTCACAATCATTCTGGTAATGCTGCTACTGGAAATTATTTACCTAAGAAAGGCTTACAAAGAAAAAAATATCTGGAGAATTGTCAGAGTATGAACCCCTTTCTAACCACCTTGAATGGTTTCAATATCAGGTTTTCAATATAGCCATTGATCAGGAGACAACCAGCCTGCAACTAAAAAGGTAAATCTGAAAACTACTTCTGTAGCAGTGAAGGGAACTCTTAAGGCATCAGCATACCAAGACATTTTGGACAATTTCATGCTCTCAACTTTGTGGGAACAGTTTGGGGAACATGTTCCTGTTCCAACATGACTGCGCACCAGTGCACAAAGCAAGGTCCATAAAGACATAAATGAGCGGGTTTGGGGTGGAGGAACTTGACTGGCCTGCATAAAGTCCTGAACTCAGCCCAATAGAACACCTTTGGGATGAATTAGAGACCGTGAGCCAGGCCTTCTGGTCCAAAATAAGTACCTGACCTCACAAATACGCTTCTGGAAGAATGGTCAAACATTCCCATGGACACACTCTTAAACCTTGTGGACAGCCTTCCCAGAAGAGTTGAAGCTGTTATAGCTGCAAATGGTGGGCCAACTCAATATTGAACCCTACGGACTAAGACTGGGATGCCATTAAAGTTAATGTACGTGTAAAGGCAGGTGTCCCAATACTTTTGGCAATATAGTGTGTATGCACAATTCTGTTATAGTGTGTAATGCAAATTCCTGTTATTTTGTGTTAATTTGTGGCATCACTAATAAAGTCAATGTTGTTTGATAAAGACTGTAGTTGTGTTGTGTTTAAAAATGTGACAGATTTGCAAAGTGGGCCCCAGAGTCCCAGTCTACCTCTGTATGTAGTCAACCAGGCCACCCCACTGCCTAAAATCATCACCTTGCTACTGGTTATCTGGGAACACCCACATTTAAAGCTGAACTGTAGACAAATAGCAAAAGACATAGGTGAAATACATACATATTTAAGGACTGATATACTGGACAAAGGATTTGTATTTCTGTCTATTCAGTCCTATGTTTTACACAGCCCCACCTGGCAGGGGAAGGATATTTGCTCTACTGCAGTTAACCATTAGAAGCAGGTGAATGAATCTTGGAACCTAGTTGCACTGGATAACATAAAACTAAGATTAGGGAAAGAGTGTGAACTTTCTGATGGTTGAAGTATTTCTGGGATAGCATTTCCATTTCTCTCACTGATTTCACTTAAAATTCACCACTCTGGGCTGCTCCAGCTGTTAGCATGCAATCAGACCTTTTCAGCATATCCACCTCATTCCCATGAAACAACTGGAATGCAGTTGAAGCAGAGTATACTTTTTTTATATTCTTAAGGTGCAGATGTACACAAAGTAGTGATGTTTTGAAGGGAAACTTTTTTCTTCCTCAGACAACAGCAACACAAATACTAATTATATTAAAACAAATAAAAATAGTAAATGTGTGCGCATGCAGTGACATTCCATGCACAAGAACATATCAGTGAAGTGGAGATCAATGCAGAAGTACATGTCGAAGCAGTGACAGTCAGTGCAGCAGTGCAAAATAACATGTTGGTGAAGTGGAGGTCAATGCCGAAGTACTTGTCCATGCAGTGACAGTCAACGCAGAAGTACATGTCAGTAAAGTAGAGGTCAATGCAGAAGTACATGTCGATGAAATGGCAGTCAGTGCAGAAGTACATGATGACGAAGTGGCAGTCAGTGCAGAAGTACACGTCAGTGAAGTGGAGGTCAATGCAGAAGTACATGCCGGTGGAGTGGCAGTCAGTGTGGAAGTACATGCTGGTGTAGTGGCAGTCAGTGCAGAAGTACACATCGATGTAGTGGCAGTCAGTGCAGAAGTACACATCAGTGAAGTGGAGGGTAATGCAGGAGTGCACGTATGCAGTGCCAGTCAGTGTTCAGTTTTTTTTCTATTTTGAGGGATATTTTCTAGTCAGCTGACTGTCAGCCACACTCTAGCTGCATGTTTGCCTCTCACTAATCTTCTTGTGCTGTTGGGTCTCATTCACAGCCATATAGTCAAATGACCTCTGCCCCTCCCTCTCCCCCTTCTCCCACCCCCTACAAATAGACACACAGACAGTGATGTAGGACACAGTACAAACGCAAATGTAATATTTATTTTTATTTTTTAGAAAAAGAACCATAAATATACTCAAACTATAATAAAAACTATAAAGGATAAACAACTAAGAACAGATTTCCCCCTGACCCTTACCAAAAAGTGTGCTCCAGCCAAAAGTCTGATAAAGGTGCCAGAATCACAATATCATAAAGCTTGATATTGAGGGTGTGTGAAGCATGAGTCATGATGCAGCATCTCCTCATACAAGACCTAGTTGAAATAGTGACTGGGGAAGGTGTATGTGACTGACTGTGGGAGGGGTGTGGATATGGAGATCCAGTGCAGGGTGGCCAGTGTTGTGAGTGTGAAGAAAACTGCACAGTTGGTTGGGTGTGCAGTTGTGGAGGGTATGTGGGTATTGGAAGAGTTGGTGGTGGAAACGGAGGGTTGTTAGTGAATTGTACGGGAGCTTGGACAGAGGTGGTGACAGTGGGTGTAGTGTTGGATTCATCTGAGGGAACGTACGAGGAGACAAGCGCAATCATCTTCTGCATCAACTCAAGCTTCTTGTCTTCTGGCACCTTTACCAGATTCCTCTCGAGGATCTCAAGGAAACCGGCGAAGGTGTCTGCCTCTTGCTAGATTCCACCATTGATTTAAGGGCAGACACCAGTCTGTCAGGGTCACAGATCTGGCCACCTCTTCTTTCCCTCCCCAGACTCCTCCATCGCACAGGACCCGGAAAAGCTTCTGCTGTCGGTGGTGGCGGGGTTGATACTCTCTCCTCTGCTGGGGGTTAGGCTTGGGCTGGTGTTGGTGCTGTTGAGGTAGATGCAAAGGCCTCCATATTTTGGGGGGCATCCTCCTCCTCTTCCTCCTCCTTAATGCTGTGCTGAAGCAGCCTCCCAGCTACTTTCTGTGCTGTAAAGAATCAAGAAAAGAAATAGCTCACTCCAATCCTACCTTGCCAATGCCTTACTACATTGCCATGTTTTCATGCCAGTTTGAATATATTTTTATATGCATCAGTTTGGCAGGAATTAGGGGACACATCTCGTTTTTGTTACTTGTTTTGTGTGCCAATCTCACCTGAACTTTTTTGGCAAAGAAACAGAAGCACTTTTTCTTGACAACTACAGGTCAGCAGCATTAAAAACAGTGGATGGACCTAGCCTACTAGAAAATTCTCTCGTGTCACTTACCTATGCATTTTCAACACAGGAATGAGAAATATAAGCTCTTTGGACATAGGCTGGGGGAGCACAAGCAGCAGAGCCACTGCGGTACTCTCGTGGCTGCCAACGATGCTTCATGAAGGAGAACTTGACACTTTTTGATTTTATCTTCATAGCTATAACTGCAAAATAAAGAACAATAAAAAAGATTTACATTTCCAAATAGGTACCTAGCAACAGGAGAG